CAGCCGCTGCCTTCCACCAGCGCGCCCCGCGCGCACTGGAGACTGGTCGAGGGACGGGCTCCGAGGGGCCAGCCTGGCGCACGCGCTCAGCCAGGCGGCACTGCGCCTCGGGCGTGGCGCTCCGCGCCTGGCGGCGAGGCGTCGGTACGGCGATGGCCCAATCCTGCGCCACGGCATCGGCCTCGCCGCGTGCCGCAGGGACTCGGCGGCGCGGCACGGCACGCAAGAGCCGTCCGCTGGGCCGCCGCCGAGGTGGCTCGCGACGCTGCGCCTCCCGCTGGACCTTGTTCAGCGTGCGCTGCGACATCGCACGCACCCCGCCGTAGGGACCGCGGGGTGATGGACCACAGCACTCCGACCCCCCACGGCCGTGGAGCTCGCCGTCGCTCCTGCGAGGTCCGCCCCCGGGCTCGGGACCACGAGCTCCAGCCGCTCCACGAGCTCGCCCACGGCCCACGGCGGGCCGCGATGCGGCGGGGGCGGCTGCGAGGGCAGCAGCCTGGCCTGCAGCCGTGGCATGGCGCAGCGAGGCCCGTAAGCCCTCCATCTGCGCCTCCAAGCCGGCGATCCGCCGCAGCGCCGCCGCCAGGCGGATGGCCGCCGCCGCGCGGGCAGCCGCATGTCCGGCACGGCGCGCAGGCCACGGCGAGGGCGGGCCCACCGCAGCGTCGGGCTGCTCCGCTGCCCTCAGGGCAGCCGTGCAGCGGGCCGCAGCCATCTGCCGCTGAGCGGCCATCCATCCCCTGCGTGGCCCGCGCGCGAGCACCCGGAAGGAAGGGATGCAGCTCGAGCTGACTTGGCCAGGGAGAGACAGGAGTTCCGAAAGAAATCGGAGGGGGGAGGGAGGACGAGGAAGAGACGACACGTATGAGGACGATACATCAGCGAAGCACCGTAGCATCAGCCGCCAGTGATCAAACTTAGGCATGTTGCATGTTCTCGTCTGTACCACACATCTGTTCACAGTTCCGTAGACGTCGCGGGAGCATGGAGGATAAGGGTGTGGCGGAAGAGGAGGATGAGACGAGAAGAACGAGAAGCGACGGGAAATGCGAGGGTCGATGATGAGGACGGCTGTATGGCAGTGGGGATGTTGAGGATGTTGGCGACGAGAGGAGGAGGGATGGACACAGAGAGATCGGTGCAGAGTAGTCAAGAGGTGAATGGGGCTTCGTATTAATAGCCGAACAAGTAAAATTGATACCTATATGAATTATCATGTCGGGAGATAGCGTCAATACTGGGTCCACCTACGCCCCACCTGGAACAGTAATGCTACGCTCGCAGGTGGTTTTGACAACATCGTCCGTGGGACCTCGCTGGGATTAGTGTTTCTTCCCAGTCCCGCTTCTGATTGCACCTGGGCCCGAAAAGGGCCCCTGGAGGCCGCCAGCGACGAAGCCACGAGGGCGACGAAAGCAACAAAGTCGACGATCAAAATTGCATCATTGCATGACTTCTCCAGGGCCAGAGGAGAGGGGTCGCAGGGAGAGGAGGATGGAGGAGGAGGACGACGACGCCGACGACGAGGAGGATAGTGGAGCATGGAGGAGGACGACGACGACGAGGAGGACAATGGAGCATGGAGCATGGAGGAGGAGGAGGAGGAGGAGGAGGAGGAGGAGGAGGAGGATGAAGAGGAGGAGGAGGAGGAGGAGGACGAGGAGCAGGACGAGGAGGAGGACGAGGAGGAGGATCGTGGAGCATTGAGGACTCGTCCAGGGGCCCCTCCAGCCCTTGCGACGAGGGGGCGCGCCGGAGGCCGCCTCCTGGGCCTTCCAGGGGGAGGGGAGGGGGGGCCCAGGGGCGCCCCCCCGGGGGCCGGGGGCGCCCGCTCCCCGTCTGCCAGAGCCTCGGCTCCCTGGTTCCTCCTTCGCCTCGCCTCGCTCTCCTCGAGCCCCGGACGTGCGCCCCGTCTTCTCGGCGAAGACTCCCCTCGAGGAGCATCCGGGATCCTCCTGCCGAGGAAGCGCGCGCGAGGCCGAAGAGCGCCCGGGGAGTGAGCGTCCGAGCGACGGCGGGGTCCACGACTTCGAGCCTCGGCGGCCCCGCACGGTCCTCCCTCCCCTCGCCTCTCCTCGAACCCCACCCTCGGCCCCCTGGCAGGCCTCGCCCGGACGTGTGCCATGTCTTCCCTCTCCCGGCGAGGACCATCGCGGACCGTCTCTCTCGGCGAGGAGCATCATGCCAGAGAAGCAGCAGCAGGAGGAGGAGCAGGAGGAGGAGGAGGAGGAAGACAGCAACGATAGGGATGGACGGGCACAGGGGTGTAGGCATCGACCCCCCAGTTGCCCATTGATCACCGGTGAGGCCCGATAGCCCCAACCTGCCCAGGAAGGTGCGGATCCAGGATCGGGGGCCTGTCGCCGATCCGTTGGCAATGTTTCGCCGATTCCAGGTCGATGCATCCTCCCCCTATGCCAGTCCTGCCCTATGGTTGCCCCTCACTCGACGACCCCCCCCCCCACGTCCGACGAGCGGCCGCTTCCGCCACCGGCAGGCTGGCGGCGGAGGTCGGCGGGCCGCCGCAGCCGCGCACGCGCAGGCCGTCGCGGGCTCGGCCGGGGGGGCGAAGTTCAGAGGAGGAAAAAGGTGCCCGTATGATGTTCCACCCCGTTTCCCTGGGGTCCTTGTTGGGTCAACCGAAACAACTGCCCAAAACCAGCGAAAGCGCCCTCGACCCTCAAACCTCCCTTAATCATTCGGGCGGCAAGGTCTATACAGAGCCTCTGCTCGCTGGCCAGGCCCACCCTGACCCTGGGAGGTGTGCTTTGGCCAAGCCAGGAGGGCGTGGCGTACCCATCGGTCGTTGAAATTAGGTATTCTTGGATTCCCAGATCCCATTCGACTTTCAGCGCCTTCCTGCTTCAATGATCGAGTGGCTTCTTCTTTTCCGTCCTTAGGGGGTTGGGCGGAAAACAATTTTTGTTCAACGCCTTCCTGCTTCATGTTTCTACTTACTTCCGACCGATCAATGCCCCTACCCCTCGCCGTTTTCCCCATTTCTGGGCCTCCTGGGAGGTTCTCGCTGACACGGTGAATTCGCTTCGAAATCCTGGTCAGGACGCATTCCCAGAGAGGTCCGGGGAGTAGCTGATCGATACCTTTTTGTTCCTCTCTGGCATCACGGACGTGTGATATTTTTCTTTGCGAGGACCATCGAGGAGCATAGTGGGTCATTAACCGAACATCGCACGGGGAATGGACGTCCGAGCGATGGCAGTCGGAGCGCACGCTCCAGGGAGGAAGCCCCGACTCCAACACTTGCGGCCACGCGCCGAAGCACCCCTGCCTACTAGAATTGAGTCGAGCGTGTACCCCTACAGGGGGAATATACAAGAATAGTAGAAATCATAGTGTGGGGCGATTTTTGTTTTTATGTGTGACTATGGATGAATATGTTTCACTCTTCTTGCGTTTCGCCCAAAATCCGCCTGTAGGAGGACATGCCCGACCTAAGGGTAGGAGGGGAGAGGGGACGGCTTCTTAGAAGCACCCCTGCTTTTTAGAAAGCGCGGGCCTCCTCTATAGAATCAGGCTCAGCGCCTTCTAAGATGCAGCTCCCCTCTTACTCTTCTCCCCCCTGTGAACGTCGCCAACAATGGGCGGTTGTTTAACGGCCCCTGGGCGTTTACTAAACAGCACTGCCTGGTTGGAGCTCTTCCTTGGGTGCGTTCGTTGAGCGGTTTCGCCGGTGCTGGGGTGCTTCTCATGAGGGAGGATGTTTTGATCTCCGCACGACGCGGTCGTGGCGTCAGCGCTAACGAGGGTCAGCCAATCCCCTTGGCCTTCCCCTTTCGTTCGATGAACCTCCGGGCGGGCTAGTGGTTAGAGAACATGCGCCCAGAAGAAGTGCGTGCCGCGCTGTTAAACAAAAACACTGCGTAGCTCGGGATCGCGCGCGGCCAATTATTCGCCGAAGGGGCTGATGGTGTCAGCGTCGGTGACGATGACGACGACGAGAACAAAGTCGAGGCCGACGACGGCGGCGACGTCGGCGACGACGACCTGCTGCTGGGAATGCCCCTGCGATGGTGACCCGAGGAGGGGAGGAGGAGGGGGGGGGGAGGAGAGGAGGAGGAGGAGGAGGAGGAGGAGGATGCGAAGGAGGAGGAGGAGGAGGAGGAGGAGGAGGAGGAGGAGGAGCAGCAGCAGCAGCAGCAGCAGCAGGAGGAGGAGGAGGAAAAGGTCCGTAGCCATTTTGGCTCAAGGCTCGAAATCCGGGTCGCGGGATTTCGGACCGAGGTTTTCGCCGCCGTGCGACAACCACCAGGGGGTCGCCGGGCGATTTTTTTCTCGCACAAGTCGTGCGCCCGAGCACGCACGTCTTCTTCCCCGTCTCATTGCATTTTCTCCCAGTGTGCCAGTGAGCCGCCATGCCAATAATCCGCTGATGAGAGCACCCGCAAAAAGGAGCCTGGGTGATACTCCTATGCGAGACGCTGGTAGTGGTATCGGCGATGATGGCGACGAACTCATGGACGGACCATCCCACGCACCTGGAACCACACCGACGCCAAAATCACATATAATCGACGGTGGATCATCGCAGGCGCCGCTCAGGACTATGTCGATCACACGAAGGACGAGTTGCTGGCTGCGCTTCGAGCTGTTGAGGAACAGCAGTGCAACATGCTCAAAGTCACGTCCTCTCTGTCTACCCCGATCACCTCGGTTCGATGAGGTGGTCAAGCGCGTGGAGACGCGTCTTGCCTCTGTGGAGGCTGGAGCATCTGCTAAGGAAAAGCGCGTGTCGAAGCTGGAGGAGCAGGTCAAAGTTTTATCTATATGTCTGGGGAGATTAAGGAGGACAAACCAGACAAGCCCACCGACGTTCTGTCGCCTGGCTTCGAGCGTAGCGTGGATCCCCCGATCATCATCATCCGTTCCAAAGGCCTCGCCGCCGAAACCAATGTCATGGAATCGTTACGTGGGTGGATCTTGCGCAGCAGCTTGGGGCAGGGCGAATTCTCCCTGCTGGGTGACCCTGTTGCGAAGAGGCTTGCGCTGCAGATCCGTGGGGATATGGCATATGCATCGAGGAAGGCAGCCCGAGCTCTGGGCGCATCGCGTCGCCTTGATGGAGGCTGGGAAGGATCCCAAGCGGTTGCAGTCGACGAGGCATAGCATGAAGTTCATGTGTCTGGCGACAAGAACCCGTGCCAAATCAAACCGGGCGGAGCTGGCCCTCAAGCACATCAATCGCGAAGTGGTCTCGTTGGCGCCGTCTTGCAAGTTTTTCCCCGACAAGATAGGGGGATCTCATCTCGTCGTGGAAGCCGCCTGTGTCTGTTGCGCCCCGCCCTGGCGACTGCCCGCCCGACGCTCGGCGCAGCGTCGCCAACCTCAATGCGATCGGAGTCTCAAAGGGTGGACATGAGACCGCTGTGGGGCAGGTCTTCGCTCCCGCCTCGGAGGTGGCCCGGAGTCTATACTACCTCTTTGGAGGCCTGCAGCCCCCCCCCCCCTGGCAAGATGTGGTCGCCGCAGCTTTTGTCTTGGAGCCCGCGTGCGCAATTTCACCACTGGGGGCATGCAGAACCGAGAAAGCCCCCGTACCTGAGGAAATTGATGAAGGAAGGCATGGCGGTTGCAAGAAATTCATGGCTCACGCGCTGAGCTGCAGGACTTCGCGCACCGCGCCAGGCTCGATTGCGGGCGCCGTTCCTCGTTCATCTCTGGCGGCCATGCAGGAGGCGCGTTGACGCTGGCCCCTTCCTTTCGGCATCTTGGGGCCTGCGCTCCGACGGGCGTCGTCGGAGGTGGTTGGGGAGGACACTACTTATTACCATTACATGTTCGGCCACTACATGGATCGCACACTTCAACATGCACAAGCGTAGCATGTGTCGGGAAGGGAGGGTGACACTGTCCAGGAAGGTGAACTTGTTGCGGCTGGAAGGTGCGGAGCACCCTGCGTCTGCCATGGTCATTCCGTCTGGGGGCTTTAACTTCGGGCCCAAGCCGCCCCGCCACGCCCTCGACCTCCCAGGGGACTCGCGTGCCGCCGCGGGTTGGAACGATCAGCGGGGGGGTCCCTGGTCCAGTCTTGGTCGCAAGCTTACTGACCTTCGACCACCTGATCCTACTCGCTTTCATGCAGGGCAGCATGATCTTTCCTGCGTCGACAGGTGCTTAGTCTCTTGTCCTGTGTGGGTTTTGAATCAGATTGCGCAGAGTGGGCGATGCCTGGAGGTGGCGGATGTCCTGGACTCGAAAAAGATGTCCGACCACTCGCTGACCCTCTTCAAGTTCGAGCGCAGCCTCCTTAGACCGATCGAGGACCACCCCATCCCGAAACATGTATGCGATCACCCCGGTTCCAAGCGTTTCCTCAACAAGATTTGGGAAGCCTCCAAGGGCGGTTACCTCACTCCCCCAATCCGTCTCGACTTGCAGACCTCCTTGATTCGGGGGGCTGCCAAGCACGTGCGCGAGTTTGCTCATCCGCCAGCGCCCGAGCGACATTTTCGCGCAGTTCGCGGTACTAAAGCAACGCCCGAGAAGTGCGGGTGCAGGGCGAGATTCTGGCCGGCATGATCTTCTCCCCTCACCCGTTGGGCAGTCGCTTTCTGGAGCTCGACCCCCCAGCCGCGCCGCTTCCACCACGGGCCCAGGGGCGTGCCTTCTCGAGGCCCATAGGGCACATAGGCGCGTTGCGGATAAGGAGGAGGGGGCGCTTCGTCAAAAAGATCAGGGCCGCCAGGAACGATTCTGAGAAGGCCAGGCTCCGTCGGCGACTCAACGGCGCGGTGCGCAGGGCACGATGGTGGTCGCCGTTCGACCGCGGGATGCCCCTGGCCGCCGTCAGACGCGCTGGAAGGGCCAGCTCGTCGCCGCATGAAATGCTGGGGCCGCTTGCTGGATGCTGGTCGAAATCGATTTGTTCCTGCCTTTCCTCCTCTTCGAGATCCCCCCCCTCCGACCCTGGGCCCCATTGAGATGGTTCTCGCGCGGGCTCAGCGCAGTGCCCCTGGCCCCGACGGGGCCCCTCATGCTGGGTGGAGGCATGGCCCCCGCGGGGCTCAGATCTTGGACAAGGCTTGCCGGTGGGCTCTAGCGAGCAGCCCCGCGTGAACTCGTTCCATCAGATTCGCGGCGCGTTGCGGAGGAGGACGACGAGGATGGGGGGCATTATTAGGGGCGCCGCGCCACCCCGTCCGCTCGGGCTCAAAAACACGGCGAACATAATATTGACGCCTGCGGTGTTTTCAGGCCGCGGGAAGGCCTTCGACAAGTTCGCGCGCCCCATCCAGAGGGGCTTCGCACTTAGGAGAAATCTCGGCCTCGCCATCCTCGGGTTGGGCACGGGCCAGGATCGCGTCATCGTTGCCATCTCCTGCTCGAAGGTTACCCGCGTTGGTGACGTATGTTTATGGTCAGGCTTTCCCGTCCATGTCCCATGCGTGGCCATTCATGGTCTTATCCCGTATCGGGCTTCCTTTGCCGATGATGACTTTTCTCCGCTGTATGTATGACCGTGTCCACTGTATTGGCACGTGCGGGCATCTGAGGGTGATGCTGTGTATGATCATTTGTAGAGTT